ATATATATATATACATAAGGACAGCGAGCGTATTAACCATAGCTTTTTTTGTATGCATAGAGACTTGGGCTTCTGAAGTACAGCTGTCATATACGGCTTATAGCAGTGGGTATCATTGCAGTATGATATCTGTACTCTAAAAAATAGAGACATGTTCATTTATTGTTGTCTTGGCAAGTAATTTAGTACTACTTTAAAATGTTTACAAACTATACTTCGAATATCATGTACAACTATAAATTATACAGTAACAGTAAATAATAAAAAGAAGAAAATCCCATGTAAAATAAGATACATTTATTCTAAGATATTGATTCTCATAAAAAAAATTTCAAGCATGCTATTTACAAACCATAAAATCACTTGTACTTTCTGAATACGACAATATAAAATTTTTTATTATTAAGAGTTTTAATTAAAAAATTTATATTTACATTATTATTGGCGCAATGCTTAGCTTTAGATTTTTCAGATACATATATAATAGGTATCTCTTATCTACTTATATGTAAAGCAAAGTTGCTAAGACCGTTGTAATCGCTAACCGCGAAAACTACTGAACCGATTCTGCTGAAATTTTGCATACGATTCTTGACACTCCCTAGATGATTTTAGTATGGTTTTTATCTTGAAAAATTCAGTAGTTCAGTAGGATCCACTAAGTGGCATCGACATATATCGAAGCTACCTGCAACTGAATTGAATAAATGTGGTTATAATAGGCCAGAGCGTCGTGGGAATTTCTGCAGTAGTCTACTGGCAGTTTATTGAGCTGCATGAAAAATGTAGATAATAGTCGTGCAGCTGGGTATCCCGGTTACCAACGACGCTCTTCTCCAATGGGCAAGTGTCCTAGGTCTACTATCCCCCTGAACTTTCTGGATTGATAAGTGCCACCAATAAAAAATTTATTCTAACCAACGACGTTTCCAGTGGAGTTCCAGGAGACATGTCTAGCCAGAGCATATCCTGCTCCAACCCTTCAGGATTACGTGGCCGTACCGCAATCTGGCCTGGTGCGGTCAGATAATTTTATTCTATAAATGTAAGGCAGAGAAAACAGCCCTGAGGGGCATGGGCAGCCATAACGGCTTCCTTCTCAGTGGTCGTGTCCCTAACAGCATCCCCATATTCCCCCGACTAACGATGAGCGGTTGTTGATCCGGGGAACAACCCAAAGAAGAGATATTTTTTGATCAACGGTGTGCCTCTCCCACGTGTACGGTCTCCGTCCACCGAGACTCCAAGGGTAAGAGTCAAGCAACCCGTAGCTGGCTCTTCATCATCAAGAATAATAATAAGAAATGACCGGAAATTTTACCACTGGCCCTTTTCAGGGCCAATGGAAGCATTTACGTTCCTTACTCAACCATTATTCTCATTGGTTTTTTTAAGGGCCACCTAAGTTTAGATTACCTTGCCAATAAATACATTTTCACTTCGATTTCTGGAGACGATTCGTCAACTCAAAGACTATATAAAGCCAGCCACTACTAAATCAAGACAGTCATTAACTGGCAAACGTCACGAGCAGAGTTGTTCGTCGCAAGGCTGGGAACCCCAGTGACTGACGACTCTATACTACCCTCTCGTCTCTTAGCATTCAACCAGGAATCACCGATCTTTTCCAAGATCTGCAATGAGTAAACTTAACAGCTATGAAAGGAAAAAGAACTTGAGCCAACGGGAGTCTCCAACGGGCAAGCAATACGAACCAATCTCTACTAATTTCTCCACCTAAGATCATCAAAACAACTGAGTCTGCAAAAAAAGGTACTTTAGACACCAACGTTTTCAACGTTATATTAGGAGACGTTGGGAAAGAGCACTACAACTAGCCCCAAAGCTTCGGACTTTGTAATTTTTCTCCCAATCAGTCTGGGTCCTTAACAGCAGGTCAGAGAAGATCATCCTGAGGTATCCAGGCAGTCACAATTGCTGTTAACTGCAGTCAAGAAAAAGTTAACTTAAGAAGCTCACCAGTCTTTTTTAGGGCGATCGGACGTTGAACATCCTTGCCAAAAAATATATTAGAACTTAACAAAGTTGACAGAAAACAGCCTTTAGGGGTCACAAAAGTCGTAAGTATGCTAATAGTCGCAACAGGGTATAGTGGAAAGAAATCTTCAAATGTATCTAATGAATACAATTTGAGGCGTCAAGAAACTGACGCAGGAAATTTATCAAGATTGGAACAGCAAAAATCGCCAAATAAAGAATCCATTACGTGAGAGATCAACTTTTCATTTTACCCTCATAGTAATCTCTTAAATCTTTGAAGATCTAAATTCTAATTTTTAAAAAAAAGCAAATACAGTTGTATTTTTGTGGCAATAAAAAATGTAGAGATTAAGCTCCATGACTTTGTTGCTCTGGTAATAAAGTTGTGAGATAAGAGAAAAAAAATTTTTTTTAATGCATATTTTTGGGAGTTTAAAATCTCAAAATCTTTAAAAAATAGCCCTTTTTCGAAAATTACACGGAAAAAACTGATAATCAACCGCTCCTTATGTCCAACGATTATTTTATTGCATAAGGAACGCACGATACTTTTAANCATTGCGAACAAATATGTCTTTAATATACGAAGATTTTTGTTCAGAGAACTGTCAGGAATAAATGTGAAATTTTTTTACTGAAAACGTTTCACGTTACATGTCAACACACTACGGTGTTTCATTTAGAAAGTCTCGGGCGAAGCCGAGACGGGGCGCTGCTAGTCACTTAATAAAACTAAAAATTTTATAGTTAATGATGTAAGATAATTGTTACTTGTAAAAATAACCTTGTTTATTTCATCATTAATACCATCTTTATCTTCATAAATTTTTTTTTTGAAATAATGTTAGTTTCTGATTTCTCAGATATATAAAATAATGTAATTTTTTTAATTTTCAATCTTTATCAACAATCAAGCAAATTCCTTATTTATGCAACGCATGTTATTTTACAATGTTCGAATTTGAAACTTTCCACATTAAAATATGTATTTTATGGTATCGGTAACTCTTGAGGTCTGATACTTATGATTGACTATGGGATTTTATTGCAGTTTCCATTATTTCTTTAAACATTTTTTTTATTTCTATTGAGCTTAACGAAAACGTCTTAAGATTGTGTTTCTTAATTTATATCTGTTCTGTTTTCCCCATGTTTTTTGTAAATTTTTTTTTAAAATTAACTGTAGTAGTTTATAATTTATGCACAATTTATTTTAAAATATCAAACCTTAGTTACGGTGTAATAAAGCATAGTTATTTTGTCTTTTTCACACTCT